CAAGCAGTTGGCTGAAATAGCCTCTATGAGTGGATCAACCTGGTGATGTATAAGGAGGCAATTGTTGTGTTGCTCCTGTCTGATCAATCTATTTCTGGATTTGCTACCATGTTAAAATCACCAGTGTTCCTTCTATTAACTTTATAAATCTGAAAATAATTTTGTGAAGACATTTTGTAGCATTTTATTCAGTGTATAAATAAGCATAATTATGACTAATTTAGAGTTTACATTTATATTCACTATGAAACGGTTGACTATTTTTTTTAAATAATGTTTTACTAAAAAATTCCAACAAAACAAAATCATAAAGAAAAGCTGCAGCTACATAGATTTCAATCATATATGTATACATATACATGTATATATGAAAATAGAACTTCATGAACTTCAAGAAAGTCAGGCCAACTATCTATTAATGTACCATTAGCAAAGGCATCTATATACCACCTGTTCAAATGCTGAAAGTTTCATCAGGTCATCAATTCATTGTTATTAGCAGAGGTGATTGTTAATCCTTTCAATGTTATAATAACAGTCTTTTAGCATCAAAAGGGCACAAGAAATCCATTTGCAGTGGCTATTAAATAAGTTAAGAGCACATATACATCAGTAAAAGGTAAAGGTTTCCCCTTGACATTAAGTCCAGTCATGCCTGACTCTAGGGGGCGGTGCTCATCTCAGTTTCCTAGCCGAGGGAGCCAGCATTTGTCCGCAAACAGTCTCCGTGGTCATGTGGCCGGCATGACTAAACACCAAAGTTCACGGAACGCTGTTACCTGCCCACCGAAGTGGTACCTTTTTATCTACTTGCATTTGCATGCTTTCGAACTGCAAGGTTGGCAGGAGCTGGGACGGAGCAACAGGAACTCACTCCGTAGTGCAGATTCGAACTGGCAACCTTTCGATCAACCAGCCCAGCAGCACAGCACAGTTTAAACCACTGTGCTACCTGCAGTCCCTTATACATCAGTAAACATCTTTAAAACATCAGCAAAGAATCTTCCAATACAAAGGTTATCCATGTAAAAACTTTGTTACTAAAAGGCAACTATTTTCAAAACATATGATTAAAAAAAGCACTAGATGTGTTACACCTTCAACAATTAGCTAACTTAGAAAAATACATATTAAAGAGACAGTGTAGCATCCAATAAACATTGCTTGCAGAGTAAGACATAACCTGAGATCTGTAGTGGCTTAAGGTCCCGCTAAAGCTTTGATTAGACAAAATGGGACAGTTCAGTTTCCAATTCCATTCCTGCTTCCGCCTCTGTTTATCTTATTTGTTAACTCATAACTATTTAGAAACATGGGTTATGTATAGAAACATGGATCAACTGATCAGCTTCAATAGAAGTTCCTAGTAGCAAAGGAGACTATGGATCTGTAAAATAAGCATGGCCAAACTTTAATTCTAAAAAATGTTAAAATAGCAGTTATTTCCACTCAGCAAATTGTATTTTGTATGCAGAGCCAAGAATGACAAAAACATTAACAAAAAAATCAACTAATGTTCAAATTCACCAAAAATATTTGGCAAAAATATTTTCTTGCAATTTGTAGAATTGTGTCATGAGCCATGCTTCTCCCTTCCAGCAGTAAAAATCTCTCCAGTGCTTCTTTGTCAAACATCTTTATTTTACATGCAAGTCTCTGAGGGGAAGCGGTGGCACAGCAGCAGTTTGAAAGCATTTAATGAGAGTAGATGAATTGGTGGAAAGGTAACAGTGCTCTGTGATGTCATGCTGGCTTTCTTTGTGAGTCTTGCATAGAGGATAGGGAACAAGGTGCTTTCAATGTACCCCTCCCTCCTGATCCCATTGCACACACATGGTAGCTTGAAGCTGAGAAATAGGTTTTCTCTGCTGGAGCAGACTGGGGCCATGTGTCCCCCAGGAGACTAGCCTGCTTAGGAAGCCCAGCCTGAGGTCAGACAAAAGCAGGAGGCTGCTGTCAGAGATGTAGGAACTGAGATATAGCCCCTGATCGCCACCAGACAGGCAAGAGAAAGATGGGTCATTGTCATTAGGGACTCCTTACGAAGAGGTACTGAGCTGGTAGTGTGCCGGCTGGATCTAGGGGTGAGGGAGGTCTGCTCTCTGCTGGGTGCATGCATCTGGCATGTGACAGACAGACGAGAATCTTCTCACCTTGAGAGGCCATCAGTCACTTCTGGTGATCCATGTGGAAACAAACGACACAGCCAGGCAGGGGATGGATGGGATCCCTCAGGACTTTAAGGCTCTGGGCAAGAGACTCAAGGACCTGAAGATTTAGGCAGTCTTTTCTTCGCTCTTGCCTGTCCGTCGACATGGGCCAACCAAGGAGAGGAGGGTTGCAAAGACAAATGACCAACTGAGGGCCTGGTGTTGGAGGGAACACTTTGGGTTCTGTGACCACAGCAACTGGTTCCTCACTGATGGACTTCTGGCAAGGGTTAGGGTAAACCTGGAATGTCACCCATTTCCAGACACTGAGATGAGAGAAGTCAAGACACTTATCTCAAGGCCAGACTCCCCAAGTGGGTAGCCAGTCTCTGGAAATAACCAAGAGGACACCATATCATCTAACACATCAATTGGTGGCCTAATTAGAGGATTGGGGTGCAGAGGGGAGCTGTGCTCATTTTCAGAAGGCCACTCCCAAAGGGATGGGACCCAGGCATGCTCATAAGAGAGTTCCTGGAGGTGAATACTAGACTGGGTTCACCAAACAGCTCTGTGCATGCTCAGAGATTCATTCTGAGTGTTTATACATCTGGAAAATACTTTTGTCTAGTAAGAACGTTTTGCAAGTAACATCTGTGGCACTGAATGCGTGAAGGGAGGAATACTAGCGCACAACATTATGAGATGGAATATGCAAATGCTGTGGACATAGCATACCTTGACTTCAGTAAAGTTTTTGATAGTGCCCCATGATATCCTGATTAGCAATCTAGCTAAAAGTGGGCTTGATAGAACAATGATCAGGTGGATCCATAGTTGGCCACAGAATCAGACTTCTTAAATTGGGAGAGAGAACAAGTAGGGGATTGCAGGGTTTAGTCCTGAGCCCATTGGATGAGGAAGTGCAGGAAATGATTTTCAAATTTTCAGAAAACTAGGTGGGATGGCTAATAGCTGGAAGACCTAAACAAGATTTAAGGTGATCTTGACAGGTTGGAGTGCTGGGTTGAAAACATCAGGATGAAATTCAGCAGGGACAAATGCCCAGTTTTTCACCTAGGAAGAAGAAAGCAAAAGCTCCATTACAAGATGGAGAATACATGGCTCAACAATACTGCAAGTGAAATGGATTTTGAAATTGCTGTAGATCACAAGCTGATTATGAATCAACAATGCAAAAGAGCCAAACACTATTTTAGGCTGTATTAGTAGGAGTTTCACTTCCAAATCATGTGAAGTACTAGTTTTGCTTTGCTCAGGACTGGTTAAGCCTCACTTGGAGTACTGTGTCCTTTCTGGGCACCACAGTTTAAGACGGATGCAGACAAGCTGGAAAGGGTTCAGAAGAAGAAAATAAGGAAGATCTATGGACTGGTAACAATACCCTATGAGGAGAAATTGAAAGAACTGGTGCGCCCATAACTGGAGTATTGTGCTCAGTTTTGGGCCCCTCATTACAGAAAGGATATAGTCAGGTTGGAGTCAGTGCAGCGTAGGGCCACAAGGTTGGTGGCCGGTTTGCAGGGGATGTCGTATGAGGCGAGACTGAAAGAACTGGGTCTCTTCAGCCCGGAGAAGAGGAGACTCAGAGGGGATATGTTGGCAACATACAGGTATGTGAGGGGATGTCACATGGAGATGGGTAGAGACCTGTTCTCCCCTGCAGAGGAAGGCAGAACGCGCACCAACGGAGCAAAGCTCATGGCGCCAAGGTTCCATTTGGATGCCAGGAAGCACTTCCTGACAGTCAGGACCCCAAGGGTGTGGAATGGGTTTCCCCGGGAGGTGGTTGAGGCCCCATCAGTGCGGGTGTTCAAGGATAGGCTGGATGTGCACATGGAGGGCATGTCGTGAGTGGAGCCGGCTGGTGCCGGAGGTCAGACTAGATGGCCCGGGAGACCCCTTCTGACTCGCTCGGTTTTCTATGTTTTCTAAGTCCTGACAGTTACATAAAGCTTGGAAGGATGAATGTCCACCATCTATCTTCTTGTAGGCTGAAGATCTTCCTACTCTTAATACATTTGAATGTATGTCCTATAGCCACCAATTTTATATGCATGCTTATTTAGATACATGGAATGTTTATAAATTTGAAATGTTATCTGTTTCAGTGTTTCAGCCTTAATGGATAAATTTGAAATGAAATCTGCCTTCCCCTCTTTTGTTTTGCTTTTTGCTCATTTCCAATTTTTTTTTAGAAAACAAATTCTGAATCTATAGTAACGCAAAAAGTACAAAAATTAATTCTGTGCCACTTATTACCTGTTCTACAAGCAAAGAGACTGTGAATTCAGGGAAGAGTGAGCAGTAAGAAATACAATTCACTCCAATCCAAGTATAATCACCCCAGCTTCTCTTGAAAACTTGTGGTTTTGCAAAGGAGGTAAACATTAGTATTTATAAACTTAAATTGTATAATCCAAGGGGTAGCTAAGTAGGAATTTTCTATAATAGATTTCTCCTAGAAGGAAACTAGGAGAAAGGTATCATCAGCCAAGCAATTTAGAATTTAGGATTGGAAGATGTTTGCTGCTGCTCCTCTTCAACAGGTATGGGTTTTGAAAATATTTAGGTTTGGGGTTCTCTCAGCTCATGCTTTCATAGACTCAAGGGACCAAAAAAGTCCATGGAAGGGTAGGAGGAAAGGCCACTTAACTTTACCCTGCAGAAGGGTAGTCTGCACTGTGCTGCTGCTATGTGACAACTCCATAACCTGCTGATTGCATAACAAGGGCCAATTTGACATACCAATATGGAACTGATATGAACACAGAAGGCCTCTGCTCTGCTCTGCTCTGCTCACCTTTGCTAGTCGGGCACTGCAGAAGTCTACAAACCCGGGGGCAATCCAAGAACTCTGTTGGCTGGAATACTTGGAATAAATAACAAGGCATTTGTTTATGCTTGGAATGTATTCTTTCTCTGTCTTTTAGCAGTCCTCTAGGCATTTAGATGCATATTGTTATTGTTATTATTATATTGCATTTATACCCCACCCTTTTTCCTCTGGTGAGGAACCTGACCAACTTACACAACTCCATTTTATCCTCCCAACAACAACCCTGTGAGGTAGGTTAGGCTAAGAGCAAGTGACTGGCCCAAAGTCACCCAGTGAGCTTCATGGATCCTGGATCTTCCAGGTCCTTAGTCCAAGACTCTAACCACCACACTAAACTGGCTTTCTTAATAATCACAGCATCCTATATATGAACTGTTGGGGTGATACAGTGACCTTTTCACAGACCGAGAGCTCAACTAAGTAATGGAGACTGCCTAGGAAACTGAACTAAGTTGGCCAAGAAGATATATGAATTACTTTCACTCTATTATAAATATGTGTTTTATAATTTATTTTGTACTCTTTTTCCCTCTGATATGGCCTATGGCCAATATGGAAACAAAACTAAAATATAGCAAAAAGTAGCAAACAGACCTGAATAGCCACAGAACTGGAAGCAATGCTCTTACTGTCAGAACCTGCTGACTTACGTTTGTGTTCCAGTAGTTGGGATGGGCAGAGTACATAGATCTGATGAGAATCCTCCCAGTTGTGTGCCAGAGCTAGCCTGCATGATTGAAGGCCATATGGAAAAGCCAGACGGAGATGGAATGCCTAGTAGCCCTGAAGCTGCATAGTGGTGATGATGTACTGTTGATGGTCGAGGCTTCTCTGCTCTTAATAGAATAGGGGTGGTAAACTGCAGATAGTTAGAAAAAAGTATATGGCCTTGTTAAATTCCTAACTATTTCAGCAGACAAGGATGAAGGTCTGATACTGGCAGCTTTATCACTTAAGATCCTTATTCTCCCCTATATTTCAGCTCCACAAACAGTTTCCACAAATAACTAATAATCTTAGTTCCTACGTCCAGAAATGCCAGGGTGGGGATAGGAGGGGATTCTTCCTTGTTGCAAAGTCTGACAGCCCCTTCAAATTTCTTAAGTGGCACCTTGGAAGAGCTGCCCATGGGTGCAAACCATTAAAAAATGAACCCACTAGAATGAGCAAATATTTTAGCACTTTTAAAAATCTTCTGCATTTTTTTACCTATGCACTTATGATGGTCAGAACTTAGGCAACCTTGCCTGAGCAATCTCCCAGGTAGGCATATGCTGGCAAAGTACACAAAAGACTGACTGCTCATTGGCCTAGAGAGGTTCCAAACAGTCATTTTCCCCTTTAGTTTGGCTTGACAGCTGTCAAAAGAAGAGTGCCAAAGTCAAACCAAAGGTGACAGTGATCTGTGCTTGCAAAAATGGAGTGGTGGGATTTACAATCCCTTCACAGAAGATCATCATCTTTCTTGTGGTGGAAATTCAGCTGTCCTAAGAGTGCCCTCACTTTTCATTTGTTCTCCATACTTAAGGTATGTGGGAACATGTACAATGTGAACCACTTCCTTTTTAGAGGAGTTGTCAGTCTGGGCACTTTTCAAGCCCCCTTGAAAGGGGTTTTTAAAACAGACAGACACAGATTCCTTTTTTTTCAAACAGGGGCATACATGTTTATGCAATTACAACAGGGAATAGGAGACAACTTGTTCTTGCTTGCAGAATCTCCTGGGATAGCCATGGGAGGATTGAAGGGGAGGGAGGGAACAACCCAGGGTGAGCATGCGGTTGGTTCACCACAGGTTCTTGACAGAACCACTCACACCAGCCTGTACCATTCACTCTAACTGCTGGAAGGACATACAAGACTGCAAAATGCTATCAGCCAGGGGACTTGCCAAAGTGCCAGGACACTGCTAGACTACAACCCAGCATTTAGGCATCTTTATAATAATGCAGCTGACAAGCCAGTAAAGTAAAGCAGTTGTATTGGATGGTTTGTAGGACTTAGATTGTATTATGATATGACATATGTTAACAGATTTAACTCTGTTGCCAAAGATATGTCTAGACTTGAATTTCTGGTCTTTCATTGGTCAGCAATATTAAACATCCTTTAAAAAGACATTTACCTGTTGTCCATGCTGAAGCATAGAAATCCCATGTCCACTAGCTGAAGAATGAACAGGTGGTGGTAGAGATTTCAGCATCATGTTCTGCATAATGATCTGGTGCATCTGCGCATTTTGCATTAGCATCATTTCCACCATATCTAGGCAAGTACGGAGGACAATATCAAAAGGCCACTCTCTGCTTACTGCTGAGATCACAATATAATGCAAGAGGAGAAGCAGCTTCTAAAGCAACTTTTTTTTTGTCAAGGGCCACATACCTTCATGGGTAATCCATTGCAGCCTATAGATATGCAATAAATGGGCCTGAATTCAGTGGCCACAGCCGGATGTGAGCCCTTCTCTCTTTCTCTTGCTGCCACTTCCTTTTCTCTCCCTGCCTTTCTTCCCATGCAGCAGGCTACTAAGAGGTGACAGATTGCCCTTGCCATAGGTCTGAAGCAATTGCATGCAGAGGACTTTTGAAATAGGTTGACAGGCACATGAAATCAGGCTGAGGCGTACAGTCTGAATAAAAGCCATGACTAGATGACTGGATTCTGGTTATGTCTTTTGCATTGAAACCATGAAAAGATAAGCAAGGAAAGTGGCCTAGTGATATTCCAGCTATACAGCCACAGTAGATGGAAGGAAGAATGCTTCCTATACTTCCTTGTGTGCTTTGGATTAGTTCATAATGCAGGCCCTCCAGAGGTGGGGACCTGGTTATAAGTAAACACATGGCCTTTCACTATATGGGAAGAGAGATGTGAGGAGCTTTAATTGTTTTCTAAGGGCCAAATTAGATGTCACATGGGATATATTCCCATACCTTCTGGTAAAAAGGAAGTTGATTTTGAAAACTAGAGGTAGGGGTAACAGCTCCAGTCAGATTCACATCCCTTCCCCTAACTGCAGTGGGGTTTCTTAAAAATCAGGAAATCCTTCACATATGTCCTATGTCACAGTACATTTAGTTTGGCCCTAAGGTCGTTTGGTGAAATGGGACACCAGTTATTAGCAGAGAAGAAAATCGCCAAGCTCATTCTGCTTATGGGTGCTTCCAGGTTCAGCTTTTGTGATACAATCACCCTGCCTCATTTCTGGATTTTTATGGGGGTTCAGACATTGACATCTTCTACTTACAACCTCCCTTTTTTCCTTTATCCCTTCTTTAGACCTTATCCTGAAGTCTGGAGTGTATCCTTAAAACTGTTAAGGGGGAAAAAATGGAAGAACTGCGCTATGCCTTCTGACGACTAGCACTTGGAGGGGGCATACTAAAAGGAAGGCCAGGGGATAGCCGTTGAAAAGCATTCCAAATGGCCACAGGAAATCACTGGAAGAAGTTAGTGATCATCCTCAAATAACAATACTTGCTAAACATACTGATTTATATTTTTGATACACAAATTCTTCAAAACAGTGGTTTTAGGGGACAGGCACTATACCCTCTAACATAACTGTTTTTAGGTATCATCTCCAAACAGGAAAAAAAAGTTATGTTGGATAACAGTAGTCCAACATATTGAGCTAACACAAATGCTCTAGGGATGTTGGGGGAGGTAAGAGCTTTGCAGAAGCAAGTTAGGATTATTGCTATTCTTACAAGTGTCTACCTGCTCTGCTCATCTCCCCCAAATCTCCCTTTACTAATCACCTATACTTCTGAATAGCTGTAGGAAAAATGGGAAAGATACCAGTGTTTTCCTGACTCCGAGCAGAGCAAGCTGCCCCAGCTAGTGTAGGATATATGCAAGGAAATTAGAGCAAGCAGTTAGAGCAAGTGAGCAAGGATTGTCAACCAGCATTTGGCAGCAGAATTGTAACTGAAGGCAAAGGCAAAAAAGTGAGCCACCTGGAATAAGTCCAGGGATTGTCTCTTCTAAGTGGCTGTGCACTCACCATGTGTTCCTGAGAGCTGGGACTGAAGGGGAACGGCCCGATTACTTTTTCAAGCTTCAATGGAGTATTGATTGACAGAAATATTAAAAAAATTGGTTGCTTTGGAAATTTGCCAGTTTTGAATGTATTGGTTATATTGGTTTAAAATTCTTGGGCAATTTTATTTCACTTTTTTCTTATAACCTTTTTCTTTCAGTTTCTTATTTATTTTAAGAAAACAATTATTTATATTTACATTTATGAGAGAGGGGGAAGGCTGTCATTTCTCCCCCCAGTCTTCTCTAGGTAAAGGTTTCCTCTTGACATTAAGTCCGCTAGTATCTGTCTCTTGGGTATGGTGCTCATCTCTGTTTCTTATCTACTCAAGTCTAAACATGCCCAATCTTTCATTCTCCCCTCATAGGGCTTTATTTCCAAATCCCAGATCATCCTTGCCCTCCCCTGAATCCTTTCCAGCTTGTCTAGATGAGGCCTAACGAGTGCTGAATAAAGAGGAACTAGCACTTCATGTGATTTGGAAGTGATACTTCTACTAATGCAACCCAAAATAGCAATTTCCTTTTTGATTGCCAGAGATCACCTTATTATCTAATGAGGAATAAAATGCAGATGCCTACAGTGGATCTTTTATCTCCCTCCTTCTAGACAAGACATTGCTAGTGTTGGAAAAATTCAGATAAATCGTGGCAGAAAAGGGTTGCTTATATGTGCCTTTGTGTTATAAAATCAAACTCACACCCCTTCCTCAGAAGGCACCAGCTTTCCAAGCCAGGTCACTGTTTAGTGCTGCTGTTGCCTTAAGAAGATGGCAGCTAGACTGAGAAACTGCTGGAGACTAACATTATTAGTGAGGAAATTGCCTGTGTTCTCATCAGCTGCAGAAAAATTGAAACAAAGGTGTTCATTTGTTTCTGAATGGATCCACCTGAAGCATCTAATCCCACAGAGGCAAGTGCCTGCACAATGTAGTTGTCAAACCAGATTTCTCCGTTAGACACATTTGCATGTTTAAGCAGGATCCAAACTGCAAAGAGGTCTACTCAATTGACAGATCAATAAAGCAATCACTAATGTTTTCCACACTATGTTACCAGTATTTCTGATCAGTTTAGAACATTATGTCATGCCTAAAGACATCAGGATGCTAGTGTACTAACATTATTTGGAAACTTAACACTCTGTATTGGTGCATGTGACTAGCAGGTTATAAAAGTGTCTGTGCATGGGCTATGGTTTTGTAGTTGGCGGTGAGAACCACTACCTGGTAGCATGCTGTCGTAAGTAACTGCAGGGGTCTTGGGTGATTTTTCAATAAAATTCCTGAAGTTCAATGCAAAAGGGGTCTTTCCTGACTGAACCTGGTTATCCTGTGTTGCAGCTGCCATTGAGGCTTCCTGACACTAGGTAATGTAGAACATGCTTAATTTTGTTATCTTGTGAATTACGAACTTCCTCTCTCTTTTTGGTTTACTTCCAGTTTTAAATAGTATTTTACTCTTTACTCTTCCTGTTTAAATTGTAGCCCTTTGCTCACTTTCTTTTTAAATAAACTCTTCCTCCAACTCCTCCTTCTATTGTTATCCACTTAGAGGGGCCACAGACCAATTTAGCATAAAATACTTAAACAAACATACCTTTCTGATGTGGCAGTTTGGGGTGAACTCAGTTCTAAATCCAGTGCCCAGACTGGGAGAGATTGTTAGGAGAAAGGCATAGGTTGGGTTCTGGGCAGGGGAACTGTGGGAATTCATCCCAGCCTACCTTCACAGGAAAGTGTTGGAGTGATACTCATATTTCCTCAAAATAGAAGTGATATGTGTGAAAGGATGATTTGAAATAAGGGAGTAGAAAGATTTAAAAAGGTAACAAAGAAAATTACTTAGCCCAAAGGAGAGGAGGGGCTAAGATCAGATAGCACAAGGTGTGAGAAAGCAGGTACATAGGCAGGATGGCCAAATACTGACTCAGTGACTTCCTGATTGTTTATTGACAAGCTTGGCAGAACAAAATGAGCCTATTGTAGCCCACCGGAGGTAGGGCTGGATTGGGAAGAAGTGCCGGTAGTGGAGCAGCATGGAGTAGGCAGGTGGAAAGATTCTAAACTCCTGGTACCCTAGCCAATGAGGGGAAAGGAGGAGGGAGAAGTGGCAGGGAGCAGGGTATAAAATGGGATGTGAACATGTGCTCAAGTAAGCTGGAAAATGGGAAGGAAACCATTTTTTGTTCCCTTTGTTGCAATAAAGTTTTAAAAAGAACTCTCTGCATAATTGGAATATTTTTCTCTTCCAAAGGAAAGAGTGCTCTTAACAGAAGACACAACAGGATTGAGTAGGCAGCTGCCCTTTGCAGGAGTATTCGATTTTGGGACACTAGTTCTGGAAGAATATTGGACCTGATCTGAAGCAACCAGCAAAACCCATTCCAGTCGTTCATAAGGAATTCTCTTTAAAATTAATGTGTAGGTGAAAGAAGATATGGTTCCATCACCAGCACTGAATGAATCAATTGCTGAATGGCCAGACTCACACTGGAGTTTTTGTTTTCAAAGTTGTTTTTTTAACTTCAGATTTTAAGCAATGCTTTTTTTAGCCTATCTTAATTGGGTTTTTGACTTGGTTTGAAGCTGTCCTTCAAGAATAAGAAAGTATTCAAAGTGACTAGATTTTGTAATATTCAGCAGAATTTGGAAGGAGATACTAGAGGTCATTCAAAACAAACTCTATGGGAACACCATCTCCTCCATGATAATCACTTAAAGTATAAGACTAAACAAACTTAAAAAAAATCGCCGACCTCAGAAACAGACAAAGAACTGAAATGTTTATGGGAATCTCAAGCTATCAACTGTAGTCCTGGGCAAGTTTGTGGTGTTTCTCTCCAGAAGCTCAAATAATATTTACCTCCAATTAGGTAAATTATTTGGGACAGCCTTGGTCTTAATGGATTATAAGGAATAGTTTTTTAGATTCCTGGGGGTTTCCCTTAGAATGTTTTTACAGAAGCAGTATCAGAGGATACTTAAAGGTGCTCCTGAAGAAGTAAAGACAATGTTATTTCATCTTAGTAGCTGTTTATTGCAATTTGCAGAATTATTTACCCTCTTGTTTTGAGGGAAGAACTGTTTTATCTTCCCAGCACAGAAGATTATAGGATCTTGATGATTCTATTCTTCCTTCTCTCTCTGTTTAGTCAAAAGACACCATGAAAACCAGATGCAGAAGTACTAGAATTGAGACCGCTCCCCGAAGGAAACTAAGAGGTGGAACATTATTGCTGAGGTACATAGGACTGCAGTGGTACTCATATGTGTTTACTTGGTAGTCAGCCCCAGTGTTCAATGAAGCTTCCTAGAAATTTACATAGGATTGCAGTCTTAGAACATGAATACTCACCTTCCTTAATACTTCCAGAGCGGGAAACTACAGAAGCTTGTGGAGGTGGAATCTGGGTAATGAGTGGAGGATACTGAGGTATCTGTTGAATAATAGTTGCTGGTTGCTGAGGCAACTTGGAAACGAAAGAAGCAAAAACAGAATACTCAGAGACCAAACTGTAACCACAGACCTAGACTTCAGATGCTTAATGCTGAATTAAACACTATCAGTGTTCAAAATTCAAAGCAGTTAAACTTTTAAACTAACATAAATATGGTGTACAAGTTAAGCATTAGACTAGTGAAGGATTTTGTTTTTATTCATACACAGTTGTATTCAATTTGCAAGCCTTCCTGAAAATATTTAGCTCATAAGAGTCTTGAATTAAAACCATTCAACTACACAGAGAAATGTGTCTGCTTCTAGAAAAGGATTACAAATGCAGACACCTAATCCCAATGTCATAACTTGATCAAAAGACAAACTAGCAAATGCCTAAAACACAGAACAATGAGGTGATTGTTCCATGACAGAGTGTGTGGGCATAGCTTGTAAGTGTCTGAGGAGAGGAAAAATTTATACTTTTCAGTCAGTCAGCAGTTAACAGTCTGTTGTGGTCAGTCAGCAGTCTGCAGAATCTGAAGAGGCAACCTTCACTTTAGGATCCCAGATACAACTGTGGAAGGTATTTAGGATTCAGAAGGAAAGGGAATAGAGTAGAATACTTGGAGCATCCTGGAGGACATTAGTAAATAAGAAATGTATTTGATTTTACATGTTATCACTGCAGTGAGGATTGCATTCCCTCAACACTGGAAAAGTGAAGAACTACCCACTGATGAACTGATTAAAAGATCCTGGACTGTGCAGAAATGGATAGACTGATTTTATCATTGAAGGAGAAGGAAGATACTGACTTCTATCAAACTTGGGAATATTTTTATTATTGGCTAGAGAAACAGAATTTCGCATAGATTTAAATATGTTTTTAAGTTATCATAAATGGAAAAAGAAGGGTGTGGAGGCTGACACAGAGGGCTTGATGTTTTTGATGATGGATGCTGTTTGTAGTTTTCTTTTTCTTTTTGTTTTTTTTTAGGATTATAATTTCTCAAATAAAACTTATTCAAAAACAGTGGAAAAAAAAACTTTGGCATAAAGGGCCATCTTAATCTGGTGCTGAAAAGATTGGCAGCAGGTGGACCTCAGGGAACAGGTTGTGTACCTTAACCCTTAGACCACATTATCCCCCTTTATCTAGATTTCAATGCATATAAAATACATTTTATCTTTTACTTGAAGTTCTAAATTATATAATTCATTGTTCAACCAGGATAATATGACACTGTTCTGATACCTCTTTAATTCCATTCTACTTAGAATGGCCATCTGATTAGTCTGTTCCTGTGTTTTTAACACCAGCAGCTTGATTTCAGAAATCAGCATAAGCATGTTAATATTTTTATGGCACAGAGATATGCACATTAATGTTTACAGATCAAGCTGTTAAAAGGACCACAACCTGAGACCTGTAAAAAAGAAAAGACAATCCTAAATCCAGCACTATCCTCAAAACTCCATCCTTACCAGAATTGTTTTTATTGCATAAGAGTTGACAGATAAGTAATTTGTGCTTTCTAGAGATTGTGTTGCTTTTAAGAATTACATAATAAGGATTTCCCCCTTCAGGTATATAATATGAGGCACTCACAGTCTGCTGGATAATCCTGGGTTGTTCAAGTATAGGAGGAGGAGGAGGAGGAGGAGGAGGAAGAGTAGTTTGGTAGACATGTTCTGGTCTGAAGTGCTTTTTTGGGATTTTTAATGATCCATGCGGTAGAGAAAATTCTTCCAGAAGTTTTTGCTCCTGCAATACCAAACATGTTCCCAGGTGGATACATTTGCTAAAAGTAATTCTGAAATTGGAAATTTCCCAATGTACAACCCTTTCCCTGACAAAGACATTAAAGAAAAACTGGCAACTTAAGTTATTAAAGACATTTAAAACATTATGTTCAAAGCAAATGACTGCATCACCTATTTTAATTTTAATTAAACTTTAAAGTTGCTGTGAAAGATTTTGATATGCACAGGGCAGATAGGGCTGCTTTTCTTTTTCCAGGCCAAATCTCCCCACTCCAAAGATGCTGCTGCTTCTGTAATAGGTTGAATTACTGCTATTCATATTGTGCCTTCATGATCCATGAACTACATGCAACCTCCATTTCTCCACATATTCCATTAAAAAATACAGGGTGAAATGGATACCATAGTGGCTATGGTGCATGAAAAAGGTCAACATTTGCTTGCAAACAAGCTTGGTTTGACTCTTTGATCCTTTGCAGCCACTATAGGCACCATTACAAAAAATAGCTTATTTTTTGGCATGCTCTGGGTAAAGGAAGTGCAGCCCATGGCAGAGGGGAGTCTGAGCAGTGAAAATGGGCTGCAGAACTTCCACATTAATTGAATTAAAATTTTTGCTGGCTCCATAAACCTAGTTGGGTCATTAGTGGTAGTGCTGTTCATACTTGTCCTTTGCTCTTCCCCAGTAGCTCATTCAGTGCCTTCCAACCTGGGGGGGGGGGGGGTCTCATCTCCTAGCATTACTCTAGTTTCATTTTGAATTTTTTTATCATAGAATTTTTTAAGGTAAGAATATGTAGAAGTAGTTGTCCACTGCATTCTTCTCTGCAGCACTAACCAGAGCTAGTTTGGACATCACTGCCATTGTCAATGAAAGACCCTCTACCAGTGTTGTCTCCAGCTATACTTGATGCTAAGTAGGAGCCCTTCAGTGGTTTCTCTACCTCCTTTACCGATGAAGAGATCCATTCCCTTTTGCTGATGTGGCAGTTCCTCCTGAAGTGGGTGAATGCATGTGTGAGGAGGTACACATTCAATGGAGCAGGGCCGAAAACAACAGGGTGTGGCTGGGAGTCTGCTTGGCCAGAACAATACACGAGACTGCAAAGGCCGGGAGACGTGGGCGAGTGCGCAGCTGCGCGAGATTGCCGGCCAGGGGAAGGAACAGTTAGGTTGGGTGGTGCGCGAGAGGAGGGTATAAAGAGGAAGCAGCGGAAGGGAAGGGAGAGGAGAGGAGGAGGAGGAGGAGGAGGAGGAGGAGGAGGATGATAATAATAATAATAATAATAATAATAATAATAATAATAATAATAATAATGAGGCGGGAAGGAAGAGAGTCGTGTGGAATTTATGACGGGCTGGCTTGGCTGCCGCTCGCAGGCAGGCGCAAGCAGCTAGGGGAAACCCGGTGACGAGAGACAGCTCCCTGTTGCTGCAGGGGGTTGCCGTAGAAACAGGAGAGAAGAGGGCCAGAGCAGGCAAGGGCTAGGTGCTTCGGGAAGCACAGCCGTGGAAGGTACAAACGGCAATGAAGAGGCCTGGTGAGTGCACGGGTTCCTTGTGTCTTTCCTCATGGAAATAAGGGAACAAGGTGTCTTTAGCGTACCCCTCCCTCCTAATACAGTCACAGCATGTTAGCCTGATGCCTTCACTTTGACCATTCCACCTGGGCTGATTCTGCTAGGAGACCTCCTGGTGGCATTGCTCTTAGTTTCTCTGACACTCTCAGAGTTCCTCACCACATTAAGGTGTGCATCGAAGAATGATTGACACAGCCATTTTATCTGGGTTTTTCAATTTCAGCTGGCATCTTAATTTGGTTATGTGAATCCTTATATACATGTTCACATTCAGAGTTAACTTGGTAATCTTCAAAGGTTCTGACACAGACTTACCAGTTTAAGTTTTTACAGTGGGATTCTGTAAATTTCTACTCAATGAATTCAATGAAATTTTGTTCTAGGTAAGTATGTACAATATTGGAGCCTAATGTTACAGTCTTATTCACAGAAAAGGGCTCTAGAATCCAGAAAGAGTCCTTACTAGCTACCAAATGCTGGGATTTGTACATTGTCTAGCTAAAGATACATAGAATTGAACCTAACATATACTCTGAGATTTTTTTTGGGGGGGGGGGAAAGAAGTTCTGCCTTGGTCGTACCCTGAGCTGCTGTAGAAGATCTTTTCTTCGTCTCAGTGCACTTTGTAATGCATAGTCATGGCTGCTATAATTACCTGAAAAAGAATTAGAAACATTACAATCACCATAATGTCTTTCTTCCTTTATATGTTTTGATAATTTTGCAACACTGTAACTTATCCTCATAGAGAAGTTACGTTATGCAATTGATCATTGCAGTTTGCCTTTTGTGCATCATTTCCAATTATACAATATTTTTTTTGAGTTGTGATAGATAGAATTGTACAGAATATTCCCAGAATGGTTCCACCTTAGATTTCTAAAAGGACAATATGAAATTAGCAGTTTTCTTTTGCATTCTTTTTCTCATATTTATTTAGGCTTTTATATCCTGTTCATCGACATGAAGCTCTCAGAACAGTTATGCAATAAAACATAATAGTCCACATAGAGTTTGCCTTTTCCACAGCAGTTACTCACTAGTTCAATATTTTCATCTAGCTGTTTATGGCAATCCCAAAATAGGTCATATAGTGCCAGCTCAGATCCCAACAGACATGATTTTTTGCATTACTTTACACTTTCTCACAGAGTACCACATTTGCCATTTCAATGCCCATTCTTCCACTTTGAAGAAGCATTATTATTATTATTATTATTATTATTATTAACATTTCTATGCCGCCCCTTGCCGAAAACTCGGGGCGGCTTACAACACAATAAAATACATTGAAATACAATAGTACATAATAAATTACCATTAAATTAAAAAAATACAAAAAATACATTGATTTACAAATATAAAATTAAAATTATCAGTATAAAATAAGTAAATAAAAATATAGGAGGAGAAAGAGAAGGAAGAAGAAGTTGCCCTGGCCAGATCCCTTTTGTTTTGTATTATAACCCTCCCAATGATATCCTTGGTATCTGCAGCGAATCTGGTGACTTCTCTGTTCTCCCCTAATTCCAGATCATTTATGAAATAGTTATAAAGGATGTCTCAATATACATCCCAGTAGGACTACAGTATTTACATCCCTCCATTGCAAGAGTGGATTTACTTCTCTGCTTTTTGTTCTTTAACCAGTTACCTATTATAAGTTACCAGTTACAAGAGGATAAATCAGGATCTGCTTGTTCAATGACTGCTAAGTATGCCCAGAAATCTTTGGTAAGTAAATTTGTAAAAGCTTTCAGGAAATTCAAATAAAGTAGGATCTAAATGGGGTAAATTTGGTAGCTTGTTTTTTGTTGTTGTTGTCATCATCACAGTCAGTCCTTTCAAAATCACTAATCACTCTGTAAGACTTATGAAGCAGCCTTAATTGCTTACTTGCTGCAGGGAAGGGAGATTCAAAGTCATCCAAGTTTTCACATTCATTTTCTAGTTTCTGTGAATCAAAGCAACATAAAGATTAATGGTAAACCAAGAACAGATGCCACTGAATTTCTCAGTTTCACATTGTCTTGCCTTTGAATTTTTAATCTCAAATTCTTTCTGTCTCATACATGAAATGTGTAAATTTTAGTATACTTGTATCAAAACTGAATTAAAATGCAATTCTCACCAAGCTGCATTAGCCAAATTCAATTGGTATAGTAAATCCCAGCATGAAAACATTTTTCATGGAGCTGTTAAAGATGAGGAGCCTGGCAGAAAAAGATGTTGTAGTCCTGATTTAAATGTAAGTATTCAACTCCAGCCCAGGCAGACCTGTGAGGACCAAGCACTCAGCACTCTAGGAATGGATAGATTAATTTGCCAGTTTTGGTTTCTCCCACATTCATGAAAAAAGGGAGAAAAGATAGAGTTGTAGAACTCTTTCTATTTAAATATTCAAAGGTTTGCAGCCTTACCAATTTGTGCTCCACAAGATTCTTTCTCTACTTTTGGTACACCTTGATCTAGACTGCAAAAGCTGACAGGGTTTGCACAAGACAACAAGCCACAATGGTTTTTGTTTTTACCATGATTTGTTTGTCATGTCAACAAAACCTGTCCCTTCTATTTCACTGTGATGTCTTTGTTCTTTAGAAAACATTACAATGGTTTCTCATATGGTTTCTGCTTACACTAATGGTTTTTGATCGTGTCCAAGCAGGAAGAGGGACAAGCCTTCATGCTCACCCATAGGGATGGAAAAACACGTGAGTGGGAAAAAAGTTAGAGGCACTAACATGTAGGATGGTGGGAAATGAAAGGTGGGGAAAATGAAATTGATGGAGAAGAGGCAGAGACTGGCACAGAGTGGTGGGATGGAATGAGAGCCAGTATGACATGGTAGTTGAAATGTTGGACTGGGACTCTGAGAGATCTGGGTTCTAATCCCTACTTGATCATATTCTACTTGACTGACACTCTGGGTGACTTTGGACTAGATACCCACTTAGCCTGGCCTACCTCACAAGGTGGGTTTTATGAGGATAACAAATGGAATGGAGAACTACCATTGGAGAATCATTTCCATCTGTTGTATGCTGTAAAAGCTTTATTGTTTATCATGGGTTGCTTGGCATGTTAGGCGGTATCTTGAGCAAGTCAGCTGAAGTCTGATTTTTCTGCTGCTCAGAGTGACCACAGAATTCCTCAGGCATATACAAATTATCCCCACCTGCATGGTAGGGATAGTTTCCATTTTTCACTATGGCTTCTCTGGTTGTCTGGACCTAGAACTATCATTTTACCATTTTGGTATGGAAACTCTGAGCAAGAATGGCTGTAGTAGTGCATACTTCTACCCTTCAATTTCTACTTCCCTCAGTTCCCTAGCAACAGATGTGTCATTGCTCACTTTTTTCCCTTTGGTGAGCATTGGGAAATATGTCCATTTCTCTGTTTACTTTTGAAATAGTGAGACTGCAATAATACACAGAAAGGGAAGGGGGAAACATAGAAACAGAGCGAGTCAGAAGGGGTCTCCCGGGCCATCTAGTCTGACCTCCGGCACCAGCCGGCTCCGCTCATGACATGCTCACCATGTGGACGTCCAGCCTATCCTTGAACACCCGCACTGATGGGGCCTCAACGACCTTTTGTGGAAGCCCATTCCACACCCTTGGGGTCCTGACTGTCAGGAAGTGCTTCCTGGCATCCAAATGGAACCTTGGCTCCCAGAGCTTTGCTCCGTTGATGCACGTCCTGCCTTCCTCTGCAGGGGAGGTCTCTACCCATCTCCATGTGACATCCCCTCACATACCTGTATGTCGCCAACATATCCCTTCTGAGTCTCCTCTTCTCCAGGGTGAAGAGACCCAGTTCCCTCAGTCTCGCCTCATACGGCATCCCCTGCAAACCGGCCACCAACCTTGTGGCCCTATGCTGCACTGACTCTAACCTGGCTATATCCTTTCTGTAATGAGGGGCCCAAAACTGAGCCCAGTACTCCAGTTGCAGGTGCACCAGAGTTGTATAGAGTGGTAGTAATACCTCTCTTGAACTAGAAGCCACACTTCTGGCTATGCAACCAAGGGTGGCGTTCGCCCTCTTGACCACCGCATCACACTGCTGGCTCATGTTTAGCTTGCAGTCAACCAGTACCCTGAGGTCCCTTTCACAAGTGCTGCTCTCCAGCCACTTGTCCCCTAACCTGTACTTATGACACCTATTCCTATGCCCCAAGTGCAATACCTTGCACTTACCCACATTGAACGCCATCCTGTTGTCTCCTGCCCACTTCCATAGTTTGTCCAGATCCTTTTGGATCTGGAGTACCTGCTCCTCAGTTGTGGCCACTGCTCCAGTTTTAGTGTTGTCTGCGAATTTGATCAGCAGACTGTTCACTCCTTCTTCCATGTCATTAATGAAAAGATTGAACAGGATCGGCCCCAGGACTGAGCCCTGGGGGACCCCGCTTGTCACTGGCCGCCATCCCGATGATTCCCCACTAATGGATACCCTCTGCTTTTGGTCAGTCAACCATGCCCTAATCCACCGGACAGTGCTTTGGTGTATCCCAAACTCCTCAGTTTCTCCACCAGGATATCATGGGGCACTTTGTCAAAGGCCTTGCTGAAATCCAGGTATACCATATTCACTGCATCCCCTCCATCTAGCCATCTCGAAATCTTGTCATAGAATTCCACAAGGTTTGTCTGGCAGGACCTGTTTTTGCGGAAGCCGTGTTGTGTGGCTGTCAGCCTCCCTTCCCTATCTAGCATCACTAGATCTCTATTATGAGCCTTTCCATTGCTTATGTGTTAGCCACGTAAGGCTAACAGGTCTATAATTCCCCATGTCCCTTCTACCCTTTTTGAAAATTGGGACCACTGATGCCACCCTCCAGTCCTCTGGAACTTCACCCGTTCTCCACGAGGCCTCAAAAATGGAGGCTAGTGGGCGTGAGAGAACCCCTGCCAACTCTCTTAAGTACTCTCAGGTGTAACCCGTCAGGGCCTGGCGCCTTTGTAATGTCCAGTGCCCTGAGGAGCTCCTCGACTTCAAGGGGGTGACTCTAATCTGTGCCCCTAAGTCCCCAGCCTCATCTAATCTGTGCGGATATCCCCTGTCCTGCTTTGGGGAGAACACAGAGGCAAAATAGTCATTTAGCATCTGTGCCTGTTCCCTCATATCAGTCACTGGATCTCCTTCCTCCTTATTTAGTGGTCCCACCACTTGTCTCCCCTTCCTCTTCCTATTTACATGCTGAAAGAAGCCCTTGATATTCTTGGCAAGTCTCAGCTCATAATCAGCCTTAGCCTTGTGAAGAATCCTTCTGCAACGGGCCTCCTCCTTCCGGTATACCCTTTTGTCTATTTGCCCCAGTACCCATTTCCTATGGAGGTTCCTCTTTCGTCTAATCCCTCTAACCACCTCCTTTCGCATCCATGGTGGCACTCTCCTCCTCCTCCCCACCTTACTGACTAGAGAGGTATCAAGGCTTGCGCCTCCAAAACCTCCCTTTTGAGTGCCATCCACCCCTCCTCAACTCGCTTACCTTCCAGTAACCTATTCCAGGAGACTTTCCCCAGTCTGGCCTTCAGTTGGCCAAAGTTGGCCCTCTTGAAGTCCCAGCTTCTAGTGCTCGACCTGCTGCACGTCCCCGGTCCCCTGATCTCAAAGCAAAGGATGGAGTGATCACTTGCATCCAGAGCTCCCCTAATCTGTACTTCATCTATCAGCACCTTCCTATTGGTCAAGAACAAGTCAAGGATGTCCCCCCCCCCCCCCCCCGTCGCCTCTTGGACCTTCTGTGTGAGAAACCCTCCCTCTATAGCTTCTAGGAAGAGACATGACCTGCTGTCACCGTTGAGTGAGTCTCCCAACTAATATCCGGGAGATTGAAATCTCCCATAATTACTGTGTCTCTCCCCCGAGATATCCTTAGAATCTGGTCTGTCAGGACATCATCCAGGGTCTCAAGTTGACCTGGAGGGCGATAACATACTCCCACTGTCAGGTCTCTTTCCCTGTCAGAACCCCTAAATTTCACCCAGACTGCCTCTACCAAATCCCCATCTGTGCTGCATTCTATCTCACTGCATCCTATCCCTTCCATGATGTATAAAGCCACGCCCCCCACCGCTCTTTCCCTTCCTGTCCTTTCTAAAAAGGTGATACCCTTCTATGTTTACATTCCGGACTTGCCTTTCATCCCACCAAGTTTCTGTGATTCCCACCAGGTCATACCCTCCTATTCCCAGGAGAGCTTCAAGATCTTCCTGCTTATTACCCATGCTCCTAGCATTGGTGTACATGCACCTCAACTCCTTCCCACTGCTTCCTTTCCTTGGAGTTCCCAGCCTCCTCCTTCCTCCCATCCTCCCTGATACCTGGCCCCTCTCTGTAGGAGTCCTGTCAGGCCCTGCAGTACCTCTAAAACCCTGCTCCCAGAGCCCTGATCCTCTCCCCACACTTGTCCAGTGCAGACATGGTTCTGGGGGGCCTGCACCCACCTGGCTTAGTTTAAAGTCTTCTGGACAAAGCTCACTAGAGCATCTCCAAAGGACTTTTCCCCATCCTCATGAGGTGTAACTCATCCCTTGCCAGAAATCCATTGGCAAGAAACCGAGTGCTGTGGTCAAGGAACCCAAAGCGTTCCTTCTGGCACCACACCCTAAGCCAGTTGTTCATCACGGAGACCCTCCTGTCCCTTCCTGGCCCAAATTCCTGGACCGGTAAGATTGACGGGAAGGCCACTTGGGCCTTTAGCTCTCTGAGTTTCTTCCCCAAGGCCTCAAAGTCCCTGGTGATTCCAACCACACCGTGCCTGGCCACGTCGTTTGTGCACACATGGATCACCAGGAGCGGCTGGTGACCCCCAGAGCGAACAAGACGCTCTACTCTGTCCTTCACATGCCAGATGCGTGTGCCCGGCAGGCAGCAAACCTCCCTTGTCTCCAGGTTGGGGTGGTGCACCACCGCCTCATTGCCCCTCAGCAGGGAGTCCCCAATAACAATCACCCACCGCCGTGTCTTCCTGGTGGTGCTGGGCGGCCGTGCCCTGGCCCTCATCTCTCCTGCAGCAGCCCCCTCGCCGCTTGTCGTCCCAGGCTGGGGGTCCTGCTGTCCCCCGAGGCCTCATCAGCCCCAGCCTGCCCAAGTGGAGAGTACCTGTTTCCCAGCTGCAGATTGGTGCCAGGAGAAGGAGGAGGCAGTGCTGGCCTCCTCCTCCTGTGGGTGACATACCTCAATGTCTCTGTGGCTACTCCTCCCGTGGCCTCTCCCTCAACCCTCTGTCCAGAGGGGGGCTGCTCCCGGGGGGGGCTGGAAAGATCTCTCGTCCCTCAGGCACCTCACCTCCTCCTCCTCTAGCAGAATCACCAGCTTGCACCAAGGGCAAGTGTAGCCCTGCCTCTCCTGGGGGAGAAGGGCAAACATGTCGCAGCGGACAGCGACACCCATCAATAAAGATTTCAACACCCAAAATCTCAATAAAACTGTTTCTTTTCATTTAATAAAAATCTCTGTGGCTGCTGGAGTGGCCGGGAGGTATACTCAGGAGGGGGAAAGGGGAACCTGCCTCACAACCTCAATGGAGCAATCAGAAGACTATGGCTGTGGTCCATACAAAAGGGTAGGGATTTCACTAATGGGGCTGCTGGGATGCATGGTGAGGCCAGGAGAATGGTGAAGGCAGCATGGAAAGAGGGTTCTGGACCACATTGTTTGACCGGCCGGTTTGGCTCAGAATTGGTCTGTTCTGGAAACCGCATGGTTTTCCCTGCCTGACATGTGAATCTGGTCTGAGGCTGTTGACCTGTTCAGAGATTCCTACCAACTACCATCCAGTCACAAATACCGCCTTTTTAGGTTTGGTGCTTAAGAGAATGCTAGTGACCCAGCACTTTGAAATGAATTGATTATTTGAACCATTTCTGTCTGGGTACAGGCCCAGTTTTGGGATGGGATTAGTCCTGTTTACCCCATTGAATGGCCTTTGGAAGGAGAACAGGGGCAGTGCAACCCTGCTAATAATTCTGGATCTCTCATTAGCTTTAGGTACTGTTCACCATGGTATCTTTCTGGATTTCTTTGGTGAATTGGGGGCACTAGCTTACAGTGGTCCAGGACTTTCTTACAGGTCTGCTTCCAAAGAATAACACTGGGTGGCTATACCTTGACACCCAAGTATTGAACTGTGGGTTGCCACAACTCATGATTTTGTTCCTAATCTCCTATTATCCAGCTCTGTTTTTCTGTGACATCTGAATCAAGAGAAGTCATTCATACTCTAAACTGATGCCTTGATACAGATATCACTGGGTATTCAGTATTTCACTGAAGCTGAATCCTGATAAGACAGGATTAGACAGGATGTGGGTGTGTGGTTCCTACTTTTAGGAAATAGATTGTTTGTCTGTTGTGGATGGGTTTGCAGTCCCTCTGAATCAGTAGTACACAGTTTAGGGGTGCTTCTCAATCCCTCCTTATCACTGGAGCAACAGTAGACTGCTCATTACCAGCTTTGGCTGGTATGTCACCTGTGCCTATTCCTAGATAGGAATAGCCTAGCCACTGTGATTCATGCACTTGTAAACTCACTGTTGTTGTTGTTATGTGTTTGATGTGAGACATAGTTTAAACATGGTTCTAGTGCTGAATAGGATATTCAATAGAGTGTCTAGGAATACAATGTAGTTGAAATAACTGCACTAGCTGCCTTTTAGCTAGTGAGCCATGTTTTCTATTGAGCCAGAAACACAGTGAGATACCTCGCTGACTACCTTTCGCTATATACACCAGCCTGGATCCTGAGATTGTTCAATGACCAACAGTGTGCCATGAGGCACAGAAACAGGCTTTGTTTACAGTGGCATGAACCATCTGGAAAAACTCTCAAATTGGTTCAGGAGGCAGAAACTGTGGCATGCTTCAATTGCTTCTTGAAAATGCATTTGTTCTCTTAGGCTTTCTTTGAACTGTAAATGATCATAGCACTGTTCCATTTTACTGTTTTTTTGTAACATATTAAAGGCACTTGTTGGTTATTTAATTGTTTTTCATAATCCAATGTATGTGTTCATACATTATGTATGTGTTCGAACTCCTGGAATTCTTGGGATATCATGAGGTATAAAAGCAGCTTAAACATAAACACACAATACCTAGAGAGCATCTTGAGACATTTATGTGGACTTAAGTTAGGCCAGAAACCAGGAAGTTATCATAGAAGGGATGAGTGGATATTCAGGGAATCAGATTTAAATATGTTTTTAAAAAAGAAAAGGGGCTTTGATAATGAAGGAACAATAGGACAATAGTTAACATAAGGCATGTTACTGGAAAGTCCAAGATGTGTATATTTCTTTAGCCAGCTACTAACTTTCAGACATATAAGCTTCCTGCATAAGTAGTCCTGTGATAAAAAGTGCCTTGCATAAAATCTGAACATAACACTGCTAGCAAGTTTGCCGACTTTGCCATGCTTGCTGCTTTCCCCACAGCATCCGAAAGGGAAAGAGAGTAGGGTGAAAGAGTATATGAGGCATAAAACCTCTATTTTATTTAGTATATTTTATAAAATATTCCACTACCAATTTACTGCCATATTTAAAAATCAACAGCATTGGGGATTAACACCCATATATACCCTTTGAAGAATAATCTTACCTTCTCAAGGAGTTTGATTTTCATTCGGGTTAAGTGATCAGCCACATCAGAGTCCATAATTGTCAGAAAATTCCAGAACAACAGACTGATTAAATAGTGGGATAGATTTTTTTTAATACGTTTTCCCTTTTTCTTTCTCCAGCATCTTTATCAACATTTTCCATAAATCCTCCCTCACTGATAGATTCTCACTGAAAATATAGGAAAATTTCACACTCAGTCCTTTTTACTGTGCCTCTTGCACTGTACACTAAGTATGGTTACTAAGATATTGCTCTGCTTGAAGAACACTTTTTTTTTTATTTGCTGTCTTTCCCATTTCATAAGCAAGCCCTGCTTGTTGCAAACATTCTTCTCTGAAAAACTCTTTTAAACGCAGGTAACTTAGTAGCCTGTTGTGTTTTGCCTACAATCTAAACAAAACATCTCCATGGATAGGCATTGACCTGGTTTTTCCTTGGTGATCAAAGAGAGAAGCCAAAGCAAGAAATAAATAACTAATTTAGTGGGACTCTTCCTGATTCTACGAAAAGTTTCCAGCCAAGTGTTTGTTAACCCATATTTGGAAATATGTTATTTCGGAAAGTTCAAACATAAATTGGAAGAAAATTTGTCAGTCAGACCTATCCATTTTTCTGAAAAACGTTGCCAGCTTTTATTCCTCAGCATCTCTTCACATGAATTTTATTTTGGTATACAGTTCTTTTTGCTGTGATCCTCCACACTAGTTCATAGAACACAGTTCTCTGGGGGAGCGGGGGAGCCTTCCTTTTATTCCACCCAGGAATAAACATACACATGCATGATTTTTCTTAATCTCCAATGAAGGGAAGTGGTGCAAACAGATTTGGAACATGACTTCTATGTTTCCTCTGCCTGGCACTTCATTGTAAGAAACAAACTATGTCACCAAACCAGTTTTCTCTGTGTTACTGAGCCTACAGAAATTTGTATGGGTGGAGATCACCTTTCCTTGGTAACCCTTATTGTACAAATTCCCAATGCATTCTTTACCTAAATAGTTTTTATTATTCTCTTTATCATTTCAATATGCGAAGTTTTCCAGGTGTACATGACCTTCCCAACCTTTCTCCAAAACTGTATGTGCCTGCAATATTATAAAAATCACTTTGTACCCCACATTTCTTGTAGCAGGACTTTTTTGCTGGCTGTGTTACATGCATGTAATGTCATTCATCATTTCATTTCTATACTATCCAGTGTATTGGATGGTTTACAGTATATTGTAATGTAATGTGCAATGTGATTACAAGGCATGCAATGTATACAAAAAAATAATTTCATGATTGTCTTAATAAACTAACTGTTCTTGGTACACCCTCAGCATGCCTACTTTCTCTGATTTTCTTGTCACCTGCAAGGGAAGGGTTGACATCTGACTTACTCCACCCCATATGCTTGTCATTCACATTATTAAAGTGAACTGGGTGAAAGCTACACTTTAAAGCAACCATTTGCAGTCTTAAAACTCATGCTAAGGTCTCCTATTATATTTGATTAGAGATGTTTAAAAAACTGAGTCCCAGAACTGAAAAATTTCTGTACTCCATAGTCTCCCTGGACTGTGTAACTCTGAAAGCAGTGAAAGTGAATGATACCAGTGAGATGTCCTCTCTCTCTCTAACATGATCTCCATAACAGATTGAAAGGGTATCCCAGGGGAGGGACACATCCATAATGGGAGACTTCAACTTCCCTGATTTATTTATTTATTTATTTATGAAATTTATATGCCATCCAATTACCAGCATCTCTGGATGGCTAACAACATAAATAAATTAACGACCCACTCTGGCTGCAAATACAATATTATTTGCTTGGGAGATATTGGTTGGTAGATGCACTCAGTGGCAGTGGCCAGTTCCCATTGATTCCTAGAAGCGATGGAGGGAGGATTGTTCATACAGTGGGTCTGAGAGGGAACAAGGGAAGGAAAAATCCTAGACTTGGTTCTGACCAACAGGGAGGATCTGGTGGATGATGTGCAGATTAGGGGAGCTCTGGACACAAGTGATCACTCCATCCTATGCTTTGAGATCATGGGAGCGTGGATAAATGGGGGAGGGGGGTCAAGTACTAGGAACTGGGGTTCTCAAGGGCCAACTTCAGTCAATTGAAGGCCAGGCTGGGGGAAGTCTCCTTGGAGAGGGTACTCAAATGCAAGGAAGTTCAGGAGGGGTGGATGGTTCTAAAAAGGGAGGTCTTGGAGGCACAAGCCTTAAAGATACTGCTGATCGGCAAAGTGGAGACAGGTGGTAAGAGGTATTAGAAAGAAGAAGGACCCCCACAGGAAATGGACATGGGGGCAAGTGGACAAAAAGATTTACCAGGATGAGGCAGCAAGATGCAGAAGGATTCTTTGCAAGGCTAAGGCTGATTATGAGCTGCGACTTGCAAAGAGTATCAAGAGCAACAAAACGCGTTTCTGCCTTCATGAAAATAGGAAGAGGAGGGGGAGAGAGGTGGTGGGACCACTTAAAAATGAAGGGGGGATCTCATAACTGATGTAAGGGAAGAGACACAGAAGTTAAATGATTATTTTGCTTCTGGGTTCTCCCCAAAGTAGGTTGGGGGAGATCTACCTCAGGGGGCTAGATGAGGTTGCCTAAAGAGGTTGTGGGCTCTCCCAAACTAAAGACATTCAAAAAGGAACTGGATAGTCATCTGAGTGGGATGGTGTAAACTGGTTATCTGCAACAGCAAGGGGTGGGACCCAATGGTCTTTTTGGCCCCTTCCAACTGTTGTATTCTATGATTCTATGACTCTGAAATACATGCACATACATACACGCATACACAACTGAGCTAACCTAGAAGATGAGTATAACCAAGAAGGCAAGGGTGCAACCTAAAAGGCAAGTATGTATGAAGTTCAGTTTATGGAGGCACAGATTGGACTCACCTACCTAGAAGTGAAGGAGCTCCTCAGGGCCCCAGCATTACAAAAGTGCTGGGACTTGATGGGCTACACCTGAGGGTACTTTGGGAATTGGCAGGGGGACTCTCACATCCACTGGGCTTCATTTTTGAGACCTTGTAGAAAATACAAAGAATTCCATAGGTTTGGAGGGTGGCATCAGTGGTTCAACATAGGTAATGGGAGGGATATGGGGAATTACAGGCCAGTTAGCCTTATTCCATTCTGGGAAGGACAACAGAAAGGCTCATAATGAAGAAAGCTCTAGAAACGCTAGATTGGGAAGGGAGGTTGACAGCCACACAGCATGGATTCTGTAAAAACAGATCCTGCTAGACAAACCTTGTAGAATTCTATGATAAGGTCTCAACATGGTTAGATGGAGCGGACACAGTGGAGGTCTTTCACCTGGATTTCAGTAAGGCCTTTGACAAACTGTCACATGATATCCTGCTCGAGAAATTGTTGAGTTTCAGGATAGATCAATGCACTGTCCAGTAGATTAGGGCATGGTCGACAGTCCAGAAGCAGAGGGTGACTATCAGTGGGGAATCATCAGGATGGCAGCTGGTGACAAGTGGAGTCTCCCAGGGCTCAATTATGGAACCGATTGTGTTCAACCTTTTTATCAGTGAGTTGGAGGACAAGATGACCAGTCCACTGACTAAATTCATGGATGATACCAAAGTGGGGGTGCTGGCCACAACTGAGGAGCAGGTGGTCCAGATCCAGAAGGATCAGGACAGGCTGTGGAAGTGGATGGGGAACAACAGGATAACATTCAATGCGGATAAATGCAAGGTCTTGCACTTGGGACACAAGAATAGGTGTCACAGGTACAGGATGGGGGACAAGAGTCTGGGGAGCAGCATGTGTGAAAGGGATCTAGGGTACTTGTGGACAGCATTATGAACATGAGCCAGCTGTGTGACGTGGCAGTTAAGAAGGCAAATGCCACCCTTGGATATAGCCAGAAGCATGGCTTCCATGTCTAGAGAGGTGTTGATAACACTCTATATGACTCTTATGTACCCACAACTGGAGTACTGTGTCCAGTTCTGGGCTCCACATTATAGGAGAGACATAGCTAGGTTAGAATTGGTTCAGCACAAGGTCACAAAAATGGTAGCTGGGTTGGGAGGGATGACATATGAGGAGAAATTGAGGGAACTGGGTCTTTTCAGTCTGGAGAAGAGGAGACTCACACTGCACATTAAAAATTAATTAAAATTAATTTAAAAATTAATTAAAATTTTAAAAAATGAAAAAATGTTTGCTCTACTCCCTTGGGCTGCAGCAGAAGCCCAAGATGAGGTGGGGAAGAGCACGTCCATATTCAAGGGACATAGTTACAACACAACCAAGGCACTAAACATAGTATTTTGCATAATGCAGCTGATGACTGCAATTGGCATTTACAAAGAATGAAGCAAAAATACTAAGGATAAATACTGTTTATGCCACTCTTAGTATTTGAAGCAAGTCAGCCCAGAACAATTCCCACAATACACAATGGCTGTATTTGGATGCAGAACTAATGACTACCATATTTTAAGTGCAACCTTGCCAAAACTGGTACTATCCAGATGAGTTGGACTACAACTTCGATTGGCCATGCTGGTTGGGCATGATGGAAATTATACTCTTTGCCACCGTCCCAGTTCCAAGGGAGCAGGAGCGGCAGTGGGATGCTGGAAAGGCGAGTGTGGGGCGGCTCCCCTGGCTGGGAGAGGGCTGCGAGGAGGGAGGTAAGGGCTTTTTTCCAAGGTGAGGGGAGGGGAGGGACAGCGGCGGCAGCTTGCCCATAGCAGGCTGCAGCTCCCGCCTCTGCCATGGCCCAGCTGCCCCTGGGCTCGATGAGGTGGCAGCGGCTTGGTCTGCAGCGCAGGGATGTGGCTCACATGCTTAAAAATGGATTTTAAAAGTTATATTTTGCTTACCTTCAATCCTTTTTTAGCATCTTCATCTCTCTCTCTCTCTCTCTCTCTCTCTCTCTCTCTCTCTCTCTCTCTCTTCTGCTCTCCTCTTTTCTGTTTCCTGCTCTGTATTCCCACTCTGGATATGCTTGCAATTGTGGTGGGGGGTGGGAAGAAGAGCCAGTGCACATGCAGTTGAGCTG